TATAATAAAAATGATGTTTTTGGCATATAAAATACTATGTGATGCATGACGGTAAATTCGGGTGTTAACACTCGAGACTAGGCCGCTGTTTGTTATCAAATGTTATGTTGATTGATGATTATGATGAATGATTATTATAATGATTATGACTTGATGAAACTACTGATTAAAATGATTATTGAAGATTGAATTATAAATTGAAATGAATATGTTGATGATTTTGAAATGATTTGAATTGTAAGGATATCTAGAAGAACTCTAAGATATACCTAGGTTGACGTTGGTTTCTAAGACTATCTAGAAGACCTCTAAGATGGCTTAGAAATAGGCCTTGCGGGTATAATTATGAATATTCGGTGGCCTGGGTTAAAACGTACGTACGGGATCTACAAACCAAACTAGAGGAACTCGTTTGGAGATACCACCCAACCCGACAGTGAGCATTCCGCTGTTCGGTTTCTGGATGACCTTAAGCGAAGGTAAGTTTAAGATTTTGAAAACCTCTTTTTGAAAATTTGTATCTTAAACTAGGCCTAGCTTAAGGGTTAGTTAAGAGTACCTTAAACACGAATATAGTTTAAATATCTTAAACTAGAATTCGTTTAAGAGTTGGTAAACATCAAATAGATTGGCCTTAGACTAAGAATAGTTTAAGGATATTATTGAATGAGGATGTTGAATGTTGAATATGAATATTGAATGACGAATGTTGAAAATTTTATTATTGTATATTTGAACTGAATACTTTGTGCATGATATCAAATGATTTGATTATGAATTTGGATTCAATTTATATGGATGTTCGACGCATTAGATATGCTTACTCAGCTTCACCGCTGAGCGTGTAGTATGTCTTATTTGCTACACGCAGGTTAATAGAAAGAATGATGTGACGTGATTCTGGAGGCAGACGGAGGCGAGATTGTCGGAATGGATGTGATGGTTTTGAATTAAAGAACATAAACAAATTATGTTTGTAATTATGATTTGTTAAGCTTCCGCAATATTGAAAACTCCGCACTGTATATGTTACGAAAAATATTATCGTGAGAAATAAAAGTGTTTGAAAAATTTTAAATTTTACGATTACCAAGTTAATACTTTAGTCCGAAAGGGGCTGCAGACCTGGACGGATTAGGGTGTTACACCTACAGTGGTGATCGGGGCAAAGATCGTCCCAATGCTCGTCATCATCAGTGGGATGGCAGGAGTGCTTTTTGTAATGCCCCAAAATATACCCTAGAATTATTAATGAATAATTATTCAATTAATCAAATTTGTTTTGATTAAAATAAATTGTTGTTGGGCTTTGGGCTGAAATAAAACATATATTGATATCCAATATCACAATCTGGATAAATCTCATAGAGATAAATCCAATATGTTGACTTACTGTATGATCTTAATTTGGGGAACCAGAGTATAGACCCAAATTAGGGATTTGTTTATAATGTGAACATTGAAATGATTTATTGAAATAAATCATGAAAATAAATAACATGAATTAAATATATGAATTTTATTGAACAAAGGTCAATTAAATGAATTTTGACACTGTCAAAGTCAACCACCCAAAAATATGATGTCAGAAAAAGTATTACAAATAAATATGAAAATTATATCATTATGTAGAGTTTGACTATCTGATCGCAATGGTGCAAACGGAATTCGATTCGGAGAAAATTGAACCAAAAAGTGTACCCGACTGGAACCAAAAATTGGTCCCAATCAGGGACACTGTGCGAACGGCGCCCCTCCTCCACTCAGCCGATTCCTACGTAGAAGTAGCTCATCATTGTCCTCTTAACCTTCATCAACTCCTATATAAGGAGTACTCAAAACCTTCAAACATGCATCATTTGTTCTCAAAATTAGTCCATAAGAATCCTGAAAGTGAGGAGAATGGTTTGGTGTTGTTGATTGTTGTGAGTGACGGGCATAATCTGATAGTATTAGTTGTCGTCGAGTTCGCCGAAGATAGACGTGGTGCTCGCCGGAAGTTTTGCCGGAAAATCTTCAAAACCTCCATTACACTTCGAGGTAAGCCCGTAGATATATCTAGTGACTAGAATGTTCATATAGATCATTTCTACGTTCATAAACGGTCGTTTGGTTGAGTTTTGTGTTTGACATGTTTGAAGAACCAAGAATCATAAACCATGAAATTGTTGTTAAAATTACGAATTAATGACTCTAAAATGATCTCTGAACATTGGAGAACATTTTTATATAATTAAATTGAAGTTTGGTGATTAAAAAATGATAATGTTAAAAGTGACTCGAGGAAGAAGACGATGAACAGTGGTAGAAAATTGATTATTTACTTACTAAAAATCGATTAGAATTTTATTCAGATCAGTGGTTCGAAGTCAGTACCATTTAATCGATTATTTATATTGTAAAAATCGATTATTATGAATTAATGGATTATTTAAATTGTAAAAATCGATTATTATGAATTAATTGATTATTTAAATTGTAAAAATCGATTATTATGAATTAATTGATTATTTAAATTATAAAAATCGATTATTATGAATTAATGGATTATTTAAATGGTAAAAATCGATTATTATGAATTAATGGATTATTTAAATTGTAAAAATCGTTTTTTTATGAATTAATCGATTATTTATAGTGGAAAAATCGATTATAATGAATTTATTGATTATTTAAATTGTAAAAATCGATTATAATGAATTAATTAATTATTTAAATTGTAAAAATCGATTATTATGAATTAATGGATTATATAAAATTATATAAATCAATTTTTATAAATTAATTGATTATTTTAAATTATTTTCCTCAATTCGAGATGAAAATGTTCCTAAAAATATGCTCTAAAATCCTATTTTTGATACCAATTAATTATTCACAATATAAATATGATTTTGTACAATAAAAATGATGTTTGTGACATATAAACATTATGTGATGCATGACGGTAAGTTCGGGTGTTAACACTCGAGACTAGGCCGCTATTCGTTATTATGCATTATGACGATTGTTTGATTATTGATTATAATGAATTAATGATGATGAACATTTTGAATGATGATCATGAATTGTTAAAGTGAAAATAATGAAGTAATGAATCGTATTGTTAAGGATATCTAGAACAACTCTAAGATATACCCACTTGTATATTGATGATGATTATTAAGGATATCTAGAAGAACTCTAAGAATAGCTAAGAATTACTGCCTTAGACTAGGAATAGCTAAGAGCTGAATATAGAATGATATGGCCTTAGATTAAGAATAATTTAAGAGCATTATTGATATATATTGAATATCAAATGACTTGGAATAAAATATTGAAAATATTTTGAATGTTTGAACCATATATTGTGTGCATGATATCAAATGGTTGATTATGAATTGAGATTCAATTTATGTGGATGTTTGACGTTTTAGATATGCTTACTCAGCTTCACCGCTGAGCGTGTAGTGTGCTTTATTTGCTACACACAGGTAAACAGAGAGATTATGTGATCCTGGCGGTAGATGGGGCGAGATTGTTAGGATGGATGTGACAAGTTTTGAAATAATTTATGATATGTCAATATTAAATTCGCTTCCGCAATATTGTTAAATACTCCATACTGTATATGTTATGAAAAATATTATTGGGATTAATAAAGTGTGTTTGAAAAGTTTTAAATTTTACGATTACCAAGTTAAATACTTTAGTCCGAATGGGGCTGCAGACTTGGACGGATTAGGGTGTTACACTTTCACTCGCAGTCTGGCTTGAAATAATGTTGTGGTTGCTTGAAGACATGATTGTGGATATTTAGTGGGGGTAAAGTTTTGACCTGGTCGAAAAAACTTTAAAAATGGGTCCCACGATTGGCGCAAAAAATGATGGTGTAAATATAGATGGGTGGGTTGACCGAATCTGCTGACCTGGACACACTTGACCTGTAATATAAAACACACAACAAGAACACAAAGTATGACCTAGACCGGGTAAATCTCCCCACTCCGAATTATATTTCTTACTCTATCCCAAAAGTGTACTGTTTTTAGTGAGATAAAGAATGGTCCCCTCCTCTATCCAATATCATCATCTTTATAGAAGAGGATTTGTGACCTTCCCCTGTTCACCCATGGACAAAATAGGAAACCAGGAGGAAGGTCATTGTACCTAACATGGATATTCTCAATCCAATCAATCTTGCAAGATGACAAACATTCCTTTCACTGTTTGCCTCGTGATGGATGAACGGCGGGGTGGTCCCCTGGTCTTTGATGCTGATAGCCGCCTTCAAGATGCTGGTCCAATGTTAGCCAAGTAAAGTAACATGACCGGTCACCTTCTCTCAAAGGTTACCCGGTCATTTCTTGCGCTCAACCCGTCTCTTTGATCTTCTAGAATGTCCTTCGTAGCATTAGGTGACATTTTGGCTATCTCCCAAAATGTGGCCGGTCACTTTTTTAAAGGAAGTGACCGGTCAACTTTTAACCCGTCCCAATCGAAGAGTTAACCTCATTTGGTGATTGATAAAAAGTTACCGGTCATGTTTTGACTTGTCCCTTTCGGGTTTCCGGATCGGGTATAAGGATATACCCATGATTTTAATATAATTTTTTAATATATAATTTTTATTTTTAAATTTTACACCATTTTTCATATATAATAATTTGAAAATAACTTTAATAAAAAATCGTAATACATAACGGGAAGTTTATTTGTGTACGGTGGCCGGTGGGAGTATATAAAAATCGACCAAAGAATTTGTGAAAAAAAAGGGTTATGAGTCTTAAGAGTTGTAAATAAATCGGGAGAGGCAGGGCAGGTACCCGTTAGAAAAGTGCAGTGGCATAATCGATATTCCTTATAACTAGAGGGGCTACTAAGTTGAATGGTTAAACGGCTAAAATTTGAAATGAATATCCATCGTTTATAACCACATCTCAAACTCCCTCCCCAAATCCCACAACTTGAGTGTCTTCAGATATATTAATACAAGTACTTTCCACTTCCCAGAGAGAAAGTTTAAACAGTGTGTCGGGGTACACTATAATGACGACGGGGATGGTAATGGTGAGAAGAGGCGGCGGGGGCGGCGGAGTAGGCGAGAGGAGCTCGCACGGCGGCTCATCCAAAGAGCAGAACCGCCACCAGCAGCAGCAGCTCTCGCTGTTGGATTTTCTCATGGAAACGCTGAGAAAATCGATGGTGTCTTGCCGGGTGAATCGGGAAGAGGATGTGATATCCACCATTCATCGTGCAATGGAAATCGGTTGGCCCACAGACGTCCAGCACATCACCCACGTCACGTTCGACCGTTTTCAGGGCTTTCTCGGCCTTCCTGTTGAATTTGAGGTTGAGATCCCCTGTAGGGTGCCCAGTGCAAGGTTTGTCAACAGTATATATTTTGCCTGTTTTCAAGCTTTTTTAATTGTTATTATTACTATATGCCGAGTAGATCTGAGCTGATGTTATTAGAATGGGTTGAATCTTTTTTTTATTTGGTTGGAGGGGTAGGGGAGGAGGAAACAAATTCCAATCCCTCTCTCTCCTTAAACCCAGCACAACTTGAAGGTTTAATTGGGCAGTTTTGTACATTAATTATGAAATGAACCTCATTTAGGTAAAAGTGGGTAGGTGAGTCCTGATGAAATGGTAAAAACAACTTTAGGAGGAGAGTATGGGGATGTAAAGACTTGTAGTATGGGGCTTAGGAGTCAACACAAACCAACTGCATTGAAACTGAATGATTTCCTTTATTATTATTAGAGTAATTCAATAAATGGTCCTTTATAACAGAGTGGTTTCCCTATTTAGTCCTCTGTTATCAAATATTACTTCAGTAGTCCTTGGAGTATCTTTCCACAAATAGTCCTTTTTTTGATCTTTTATCATGTTGGTGTTAATTTGAGGGCTAAACGTGTAATTTCACAATGATAATATATCTTTTGTCATACACAATTCCAAAGGCTGTTCCGTTTGCGTCGTTTGTGAATTACAGTCGCTTTCTACTACAACCATATTCTTCAAATGTGTCTTTTGTCAGAATCCTAGCCCACAATTATAGTCATTATTTTTACGTTATCTGTTTAAACAATATCAGAACACGTCACTAGACATAATGTTGATGTTAGATTATATTTTTAGCCTTTAAATTAATACTAACATGGCAGAAGATCTAAAAAAGGACCATTTGTGGAAAAGCATCCTTAAAAAAGGATTACGGGTATAATATTTGATAATAGAGGACTATATATGGAAACCCCTTAGTTATAAAGGACCAATTATAGAATTTACTCCTATTATTATTATTCAAACTGGAAAAGTTCAATAATTCCCTGCCTAACGAATTACAGTTGTGTGTCTCTATACATCCCATCTTTTTTTTTTTAAATCGATCGAAACTTAATTGCAGCATCAGTGTGTTTGGTGTCTCAGCAGAGTCGATGCAGTGCTCTTATGATAACAGAGGGAATAGTGTCCCAACCATTCTCTTGTTGATGCAAGAGCGCTTGTACTCGCAAGGTGGTCTCAAGGTATGCAAATTAAAAGTGTCTGTTTGAATTGCATATATTTAGATCTTCCAGTCTCTCTATAACATAAGATCTTGACATAGAAAATTAATCAATCCTGTATATATGTGTGTGTGTGTATATATAGGCAGAAGGCATTTTCAGAATAAACCCAGAGAATAGCCGGGAGGAGCATGTAAGGGACCAACTAAATAGAGGCATTGTGGCGGTGGACATTGATGTACATTGTTTAGCTGGTCTTATCAAAGCCTGGTTTCGTGAGCTCCCATCTGGTGTGCTAGATGGATTGTCACCCGAGCAAGTTCTGCAGTGTAACACAGAGGAGCAGTTTGTGGAGCTAGTGAAGAAACAGTTGAAGCCAACGGAGACTGCATTGCTGAATTGGGCAATTGATCTAATGGCTGACATAGTTGAACACGAGGAGTCTAACAAAATGCACTCCCGGAATATTGCAATGGTTTTTGCTCCAAACATGACTCAGATGTCTGATCCCCTCACTGCTCTAATGCACGCAGTCCAAGTGATGAATCTGCTCAAGACCCTAATAACAAAGACATTGAGAGAGCGTGGTGGGGAGTCCTCCTCAGCTGGAGGATACTCACCCATGTCGTCTCATTCGTCTGATGATGGTGATGAATGTGACACTCAAGAAGAAGAAGAAGAACAAGAAGAAGAAGATGAAGAAGAAGAAGATGAAGAAGAAGAAGAAGAAGAAGAGCTGCTGTTGGATTCAGGCTGCAAGTCAGAAGAAGAAGATGAAGAGCATGGAGACTATAACAGTACTGAAGACCGATGCGAAGTCGAGTCATGGAGCAAGATAGAAGAACATTGCTTCTTGAGGCAGCAGCAACTTGTTCAAGGAATATTGTGCAGAGATCCTCCTCCTCCCTTGATGTGCAATTCGCCAGTTTCATTTTCTGACAGTAAAGTGGACAGTTCTGGTTTAAGCACAAGTGAAGACGGAGATGAGTCTAGAGCCAGTAGTTAAGTCATTTAGTTGATTATTTTTTCTCCCTTGCGTGACTCACAAACTATACTGTTTCTCGTGGACTAGCCACGGACATCATTGTAAATTGGGTAATGATACCTACCCTCATCTGCTTGCTTGTGTGACTGACCATTCTGGTCCTGCCTGCGAATGTAGGAGGTTCAGTTTTATCTGGGGCTGAACTTTGGATGCTTAATCTTCATCTGCTTTTGAGTAACCAAGGATATCAATGTTCAAAAATGGATAAGGATTTAATTGGCTGGTGGACTGGTCTCTACCCATCATCCCTTCTTCAATTGCTTTACTCAGATCAAACCTCGTTACGTTGGTGGTGCATGTTACATCGTATGATATGTTATATTCTCTATAGTGCTGTTTTGAATCCATTCATCTTGAACGGCCCCTCACATAAATTTAAGCAACTCCAAACCAATGTTTTGATAACCGGACCGAACACGTAAATTATATTTGACGAGTGGTGAAGGTTGTGGCGGCGATGACGGCGGCTCGACAACCCTAGCCGACAGCTCTTCTGTAGAAGATGGAGATTGTCCCCCTCCTCGATGTCCTACAAGCTGGTAGCAGTGTAGCACTGGCATGGATCGAATATGGAGGATATGAAGAGTTGGCGGGGGTGGCGTTCGGTCCAAGAAAAAAAGGAGATAGGCTTCTTGTTGGTCAAGAACTCCTAATTTATGGAATTATGGATAGTAAATTCCTTTTGAATGAGTACCGTTCATAATGAATATTGTTTGAAAACGAACACTAAATTATTTACAAATCAATATTATAATGGGGAAGGTTGAAGTGACATTGGTGGGCAATGTCATGGGATAACCCGAGGGCACTCCGGTGCCCCGTTCGTAAAATTGACGGTTCCTACCCCTCCTAACCCCCCCGGTAAACCCTCCCACCCGGCCCCGACCCGAACACACCCCCTCACCCCCTTCAATTGCACCCCACAAGTTGATTTTGACTTTGGAGTCAAATTTTGACTCCAAAGTCAAATTCAACTTGTGGGGTGCAATTGAAGGGGGTGAGGGGGTGTGTTCGGGTCGGGGCTGGGTGGGGGGTTTACCGGGGGGGTTAGGAGGGGTAGAAACCGTCAATTTTACGAACGGGGCACCGGAGTGCCCTCGGGTCATCCCATGACATTGCCTACCAATTAGGGGTGTTCAATCGGATCGATCCGATCCGATCCGAAAATTTGGATATCCGAAAATTTCAGATCACGTAAAACTCATTCCATATCCGATCCGAAAATATTTGGATATCCGAAATTTGGATATCCGATTTTTCGGATCGGATCACTGGATTATCCGAAAAGTTGAGTTTTTAGCCAAAATTTACAAAAAAAAGGTAAAATAGCAAAATCAACCCAAAATATCAAATTCAATATAGATTTACTAAAAGAAAAATTCCACCACTAGGTAATGGCCTAATAAAAAAATGATACCAAATTTAATTTGGGAGTAACTTTGGTAATTTTTCCTAGACAAACAAAAAAAACACTATTAAAACAAAAGATTCTAAAATGCTAATGTAAAAAGTCCAAAATGGTTGAGTTCCAAAATCAACATAAAATTATATTTAAACATATAGTCATAATATATATCCATAAAATTCCAAAAACATATAGCAAAAAAATAGGATATCCGATTATCCGAAAAATTTCAGAAATTGAATCCATATCTGATCCGATTTTTTCCGGGTACCCGATTTGAAATATCCGAAAGCTAAAATATCGGATTGGATATCCATTTTTCGGATCGGATCGGCCCAGATCGTGGACGGATATTTCAGATCGGATATTTTTGAACACCCCTACTACCAATGCCACTTGAACCTTGGGGTATTGGGGTATAATATAAGGGAGAAGCACTAAGATAGCACTACTGTACATGTTTTAGTACCTATTAAGCACTCCTATTTAGAGTAGTAATTTCCGCTAATTAGTGTGATGTGCAATTCCGGTTTTGTCCTTGTACTTTAAAGAAGGAAACGTTTTGATTTGAAGGAGGCAGTGCATTTTCCGATTCTAGAGGGCGGCTAGTCAGGCGAAAGATTCGCGTTTATTGTCTGTTGCATGCTTCCGGATTTCGAGCTCGGTGAATCAGGCGGTTGTTTTGCACTTCCCAAAATTAAATTCTGGAATTATGAATCCTTCGGAGTTTACAACACCAGAGAGATCTATTCCACAAAGGAGACGCAGTGCAAGGCTTGCAATGGCTACTGATGATGCATTGCGTGGTCCAGAACAACCATTGACAGAGGATGATGCGCTGGATGAACTTCCTCTTAGTAAACGGATGGAGAAGGTTCAGGTACGATTTTCCTGTTGATTATATGACGGTGTGATGTTAAAGTTTGGATTTTGGCATTATTCTTGGCTGTGTTTAAGCGTCTTTCTTGGGTGATTTCGGCATTTGTTTTTCTTTTGTTAATTGGTGGTTTTTTGTGCGCAAGTATGATTTGTGTTATGTAATGCCTTAAAATTCAGATTCTGGTAGATGAAAAGGTTTGTTGCTGTTTTTTGAGGTTTTAGCGTTTTGGGGTTTATCCTTTGGATGTACAGAGCTCTGTTCGTGTAATTAGAAGTTTATTCGCAAATGTTTGGAGAGTATTGGGAAGTTTGTGTGTTTTGGATATTTTTTAAATTCTATTTGCATTATGCATGGCTGTGTTTTAGGTGCTTTTGTTAAGTGATTTGGATATTTGTTTTTCTTTTGTATTTTGGGTGATTTTTGGAATCAAGTTTGATATGTGTTGGGTAATGCCCAAAGTTTCAGATTTTGGTTGATTAAGAGGTTTCCATATGTTTTTTTATTTTTATTGTTTTTTGGTATTTAGCATTTGGTAGTAAATGGAGTTGTCGTTGTTAGTTGTAGTGGATTTGGTATTGTTATGAGGTAACATTGTTCTGTTTTGTCTTAGGAATTGAGATAACAACTGCATTGAATTTCTTCCTGTGATGTTTTTTTGTGGCATTTGGTTGTGTGTATGTGGTGACAATAGGTTTTCCCTTACATCATGATTACAGTTTTTCCATGTGATGTGTAATAATGTGGGTTTGTTGGGTGGTCTATTTATGGTATGGATTTGTGGTGGGTTACAAACAATTGTTGTAGTGCAGTGTGCATGTAGCGGGCATGGGGGTGGGTTTTTTGGTGTGGAAGTGTGTGGGATTCGGCTTTATGTGGTTTACGCAAAAGGCATTGCTTGGTTTTGTGATTTGTATCTGGCAATGAATGTCTGCATTGGCTCAAAATGCATCGTGGCATTACGCATTGCCATGATCTTCTTTTTTCTCTATGGTCAACATGGTTATTTGATTATCTGATATTCTGTTTTTTGGTTGTAGGTGGGTATAGGAGTTTGGTTTTGGGTTAGAATGCGTAGTGTCATAGTGCATGGATAGATCTAGGTTCAATTACTGGTTGTCTCGGTGTTTTCATTTCCTTATTTTCTGGTTTTGCTGGCTGGCCTTGATTTTTTGGGTTGGTCTTTGTTGGTTTTTTATGTGCATATGACTGATTTGTCCCTTGTACAGGACGCACAAAAGGCGGAAAAAGCTGGTTTACTTGATGGCAGGATTAATACATATTGCAACGTTAACGAAGTGGCTAGACAGATTAGAGGGATACTAACTCCGGAGGAAGTTAATCGTTTTAGGGCTTCTACTTTCGGTGTTCTGTTGGATGTTTTGGACTGCCCATGGATAAGTGGTCAATTGCTCATTCATTTGGTTGGGAATTGTGTGAGGAGTGCTGATGGGGCAGGCATGAAAGACGTGTTGAAGTTTAGAATACTTGGGAACGAAGTGGTGTTGACAAAAGCCCAATTTCATTTGATTACGGGCATAAAGATGGGGGGAATGAGAGGCATAAGTCGCGTTATTTTCGATGCAGTGAATCTGTTAAGCGGAGAGAAATCAGCAATGCATTCCTAAGCTTTAGACGTGATGCGGATGGGTCAATGCCAAATGACGCCCTTAAGATGTCTTTGTTGTATGCTTTGGCAAATACGTTTCTGGGTAACCAACCCTCTGTTAATTTTCCAATGTGTTATTTGAACTTGGTTGATGATCTGGACGAGTTTAATAGCTACCCATGGGGGGATGACGTCTGGAGGGAGTTGGTGGATCATGTGTACAGGTGTGCAGTGTGCATTGAAAAGGGGGGTAGTACTAGGCCTACATTCGGAGGATTCATGTTTGCTCTTCAGGTGTGGGCGTTTGAGACATTTCCAGCCCTTGCGGAAGCTGGGATGTGTGTGGTGGATCCTGACAGGGTAAATGCAATACCTCGGTGTCTGAAATGGAAGGTCTGTTCGAAGTTGAAGTCTGCTTGAATGGGCTGTGGTTGAGCCAACGGATGGGGAGATGTTGCTGGGCAGTGTTAGGGAGCTTTTTAGGTGTTATGCCACTTCTTCAGCGAAGGGGAAAGGGAAGTTGTCTCTAAGTGCTTCGAAGAGGGCTCGGAATGTGAAGGCAAAACAAGTTAATATAAGGGAAGCGTTGGGGAAGATGAAAGTTGGTGGGATGGCATCTGGTGCTGGGGTGAGGGAAGAGAGGCGCAGTGTGAAATTGAATAGAAATTATGTGGGGCGAAGAGGACAGGTGCAGTGTGTGGCAGGTAAGGGGTGTGATCACCTGAGCTTAGTGAAGGAAATTGCAGATATAAAGGAGAAGCAAGCTGCACAGGACAGAAAACTAGATGAAATTTTGGGTATTCTCCGATTAAAATCTCCATCTGTTGAAGTTGGGTCGGCATCAGGGAAAGCGTCGTTAATGGGGGGCAATGAGGAAGTTAAAGAGCAGATGGATGATCGTAATGGCGATAGAAATGCAGAGCCCAAAGTGGAATGCGCAAATGATGTCGAGATGTGTTTTGACGCCGGGGGGCCATCCTTCGATCTTTTAACTCCAATGCCGAAAGGTGAAGCCGCCGGAGACGACAATCCAAATCCCAACAGTGGTAGTGTGTCGGTGACAAATGCCTCGGGTTATGAAAAGGAAGGGAAGTGTGTTGAGATCCCTTTCACTGAGACGCAGTATGATACTCAATACCTCGAGCTTATAGACAGGCAAACCGAACTGATGCTAAATTCGTTAAAGAATGCCAAAAGTGTAATGTCTTAATCCCATATGTATTTCTTATTTTTTTTAATGTCCATTGAAGGGATGTGTAATTTTATGCAATGCTAATTGCATTGTGATTGTGTTCTCTCGCAGGTTCCTTTGGTATGTTGTGAAGGTGTTGTGGGTCAGGATGTGGATGATGTGAAATGCAATGTGGGTGAAGATGGTGCGAGGGTTGACTTATAGTAGTATAAAATATAAAGATTAAAATTTGGGATAATAATAATCTTGTATATTTCTATAGAAAATATTTCCAATAATATTTAGAAAATATTATAGATATTTTCTATACACAAAATGATATATGTGGAACAAAAATAATATTTTCTCTCACTAAAGTGTAATGGCCGAAAAGATGATTTTCTTCTCCACTTGTTTTAATGGTGCATGAGGTGCATATATAGAAAACAAATATTAATCTTTGTCATTAGCTAAATGACAAATCAATTAACTCCACTAAGTAATCAATCAATGAAATTTTATTCTTCACAATCTCATCATGGCCGAATGAATGATATGAGAAGGATTTTCAAAATTCTTCTCCACTTAAATGTTCAAAGTGTATTTTGTTTGACACCAAAAATTAATATAAAATTAATTTTAAATCAAATAAAATACCCATGTCATTTTTAAACAAGTATAAAATATACTTCAAATAGTTTATGTCAAAATAATTATTTTCATAATTAAAATGACAAACCAAAATAAAATATTCAATACACAATATATATATTAATCGGCACATATATATAAAATATATATATATAACCGAATATTTATATATATAATATTATATTCCAAAATATTTTATTTTACTATTTTACAAATATACAAATTACTTATTATCCCATTATTTAATCCTACTCCTTAAATTGTACAAAGTGTGTGACCCGTATAGGAACTTATAAAGCTGGCCACAGTATTGGCTCTGCACCAATACTATAAGCAATAAGCGGTATCTAGCAACACATTATTGCCCCCAGATTATAAGTTAAGACGTTTGCACCGTCAAAACCTTTCCACGACTCAGACTCCGTGTAACTGTATCCCTTTGTCTCAATGTCTAAACTCAATGCAAGGGATTAATAAAATCCAGCTTGTATCCATTAAGTCATTCACTGATTTATCAAGTCCGACTAATAGGAATAGACGTCATAAAAGCATCTCAGCATGGCCATGCAATTTCCTTAGTCATAACTTATCAGTGGGCCCCATAAGACATTAATCTCTTTAAAAAGAGTAGTGACAAATCCTATGTACGTAATCTACGTTTCTGAATACGCGCTGCGGCATACCCAAAACAAAGCCTGTATACTATCCTTATTTCATATGGCTTAGGACAATGCATCAAAGTATGCGGGTTCACATATGCAGAAAACGTAATACTTAAAGTCGAAGGATATTTACACCCGTGGTCGCGCTAAAGATGCTTAGAGCATGAACTAAAAATTCAAGCAACATCTTTAGAATGGGTCAGTCGGGCATCCTATTATCTCTAGATAATATCTGCCCATGTGCGAATGCGAACACACCGTCATTGACAATGAGACTAAGTCAAACATCCAACACACACTAGTCTCACATGCATTAACGATATCCCACTCTCGTTAATACTCGACTATGGACATTTAGATAAATATTTATTTCAAGATGTTAGTCTCATCAGCAGAATAACACTATCTGATAAACATCTTTAAATATAAATCTAGGAACATAATATTTGTTTACATTAGCATGAGATGTGTAAACATATTATATTTGCCTATACATAATAGAATAATGATAAACAGTTGGCCATCAAGGCACAACTCCAACAATCTCCCACTTGCACTATGGCCAATCTGGCATCGGTCGAATACCCATGGACCTAGTGTGACCCTCATGCTTTAGCTTTCCTAAAGGCTTGGTCAAGGGATCGGCTATGTTGTCGTCAGTATCTACTTTGCAAATCATCACATCTCCTCTATCTACGATTTCTCGTATGATGTGATAGCGTCGTACAATGTGTTTGGTTTTCTGGTGAGATCGCGGTTCCTTTGCCTGTGCAATGGCCCCAATGTTGTCACAAAACAACGAGATAGGGTCATTAATACTAGGAACCACTCCAAGTTCAGTAATGAACTTTTTGATCCAAACAGCTTCTTTAGCTGCCTCGGCGGCAGCTATGTACTCAGCCTCTGTAGTCGAATCGGCGGTTGTATCCTCCTTAAAGCTCTTCCAACTAAAAGCTCCGCCATTCATGCAAAACAAATATCCTGCTTGTGATTTTGAATCGTCTCTGTCGGTTTGGAAGCTAGCATCAGTGTAACCGACCACCTTTAGCTCTTCCTCACCACTGTATACCAGGAATGCATCCTTAGTATTCCGAAGATACTTGAGGATGTTCTTGACCGCTGTCCAGTGTGCTTCTCCTGGACTTCCCTGGTATCTGCTGGTCACGCTTAAAGCGAATGAGACATCAGGTCTAGTACATATCATGGCGTATATGATGGATCCAATCGCAGAGGCGTATGGAACCTTCATCATGAGTTCCTTTTGCTCGGGAGTATAAGGACTCTGGCTCTTGGAAAGAACCGTGCCAGGTGTCATAGGTAAAGATCCTTTCTTTGAGTTAGACATGCTAAATCGATCAAGGATTTTATCTATATATGTACTTTGATTTAGACCTATTAACTTTCTTGATCTATCTCGGTAGATTCTTATGCCAAGGACATAACTAGCATCCCCTAAGTCTTTCATAGAGAAGTTCTCGCTCAACCACGTCTTTATAGAAGTGAGAGCGGGAATATCGTTACCCATTAACAATATGTCATCGACATATAAGATTAGGAATACTATTACACTCCCACTGACCTTCTTGTATACACAAGATTCGTCAGAGTTCTTCTTGAAACCAAAACTGGAAATGGTTTCGTCGAAATGTATGTACCAACTCCGAGATGCTTGTTTCAATCCGTAGATTGAACGTTGCAGTTTACAAACATTGGCAGACTGACCAGCAATTTGAAAACCGTCAGGCCGTGTCATGAAGACATCCTCTTTGAGGTTCCCATTAAGGAAAGCCGTTTTGACGTCCATCTGCCAAATTTCGTAATCGTAATAGGCTGCAATCGCAAGCATTATCCGAATGGATTTCATCATAACAACTGGAGAAAAGGTTTCATCATAGTCAATTCCGTGGATTTGTCTATAACCTTTTGCTACCAATCTAGCTTTGAAGGTATGAACCTTCCCGTCTACGTCTGTCTTCTTTTTGAAGACCCACTTGCATCCAATAGGGTTTACCCCTTCGGGCGCATCAACCAAGGTCCAGACTTGGTTTGTGTACATAGACTCCATTTCAGATTTCATGGCTTCGAGCCATAGATCGGATTCGGGGCATGTGATTGCCTCGAGGTAGGTCTCTGGTTCGCCTTGATCTACCAACAAGACGTCACCTTCATCAGACATGAGAAATCCATATCTGACCGGAGGATTACGTATCCAGTCTGACCTACGTGGTTTATCTTGAGCAATTTGAGGTTCAATTGCTTGATCTCTTTGCTCAGGTTCCAACACTATCGGGACTTCTTCTTGTGGTTCTCGAATTTCTTCGAGGTCTACCTTTCTCCCACTAGTGATAGCAGAAAGAAACTCCTTCTCAAGGAAAGTTCCATTCCGAACAACGAAAGTTTTGTTATCGGATGGATGATAGAACTCATACCCTCTAGTTTCCTTGGGGTATCCCACAAAAATTACTTTATCAGATTTAGGCTCCAACTTACTAGACGTCATGAGACGTTTTACATAAGCTTCACAGCCCCAAATTTTAAAGTATGAGAAACTCGGTTTTCTCCCACGCCATAGTTCGTATGGTGTGCTCTCGACAGCTTTAGATGAAACTCTGTGGAGTGTGTGCGCTGCTGTTTTCAATGCATTTCCCCAAAATGATTCTGGCAATGTTGTCAGACTAATCATGCTCCAGACCATGTCTAGCAAAGTCCGATTTCTCCTCTCAGACACTCCATTTAACTGAGGTGTCCCTGGAGGAGTGAGTTGGGATAAGATCCCATGCTCTTTCAGATAGTCATCGAACTCCAGCCTTAAGTATTCACCTCCTCGATCCGAGCGGAGGGTCTTAATACTTTTGCCTAATTGTTTTTCTACTTCGTTCTTGAATTCTTTGAATTTCTCAAATCATTCCGATTTGTGTTTCATGAGATACACATATCCATATCTACTAAGGTCGTCAGTAAATGTAACGAAGTAAGAATAACCACCTCTAGCTACAGTGCTAATTGGACCACAGACATCGGAGTGTATGAGGCCCAATAAGTCACTCGCCCTTTCACCGTGACCAGTGAATGGAGCCTTTGTCATTTTACCATGTAAACAAGATTTACATACATCATATGACTGGAAGTCAAATGAATCAAGTACACCGGAACGATGTAACTTAGATATGCGTTTTCGTTAATGTGGGCCAAACGACAATGCCAAAGGTACGCGAGATTCAAACTGTTAGGTTTGTTTCTCTTAACATCTACGTTATATACTGCGGTATCCATGTCGAGGACATAGAGACCGTTGGTCATTTTTGCAGTTGCATAAAATATTTCATTTCTAAAGACAGAAAGAGTTTTGTCTTTTACAACGAACGAAAATCCTGCTTTGTCAAGGCAGGATACAGAAATGATGTTTCTGCTCATACTGGGTACAAACAGACAATTATTTAATTGCAATACAAGACCACTAGGTAGAGATAAACTATAGGTTCCGACGGCTAATGCATTTACGAGTGCGCCATTGCCGACTTTTAGTTGTATCTCTCCCTCCGTCAATTGTCTACGTTCATGCAGATCCTGCATAGAAGTACAGATGTGAGAACCACATCCAGTATCCATCACCCAAGAGGTGATATCAGACATATTGACTTCAATAACGAAGATACCTGAGGTTTGAGGTTTCTTTCCCTCTTTCCTCTCTGCCAGTAATTTTG